GTATAATTTGGGAAATGCTGCTGTCCACAATCCCATACAATATTCACAATCTGCAGTTAATAGTCTTACCCAGAATATCATTCACACTGATTAGATCAGCAGTTTACTACAGTACCTGGAGTTTTTGTGTGTTTTGTTATAATTTGTTTTCTTCCATTTGTCTGATACTAATGTGTCTTTTATGTTAAAGATTTTAATACTCATAATATCAGGGCCTTTGAAAAGCACAGGCAGGGAACAAGAATCATATGATTTCTTAACGTCTCTTTCAATGATGGAATTAAAATGCTCTATACATGTAGTACAATCCTAATTCAAGTATGAAGTTTTGTTTATTAACAATAAACAGATTGTCCGTAATCATCTCAGTTCTTATAAAATATACTGTTATTTTGGTTTATTTAGTCAGTTGTCATTATTTCTTTGTGTCTAACACTTGGTGATAATTTGGGTTATACATGCTATCAAAAATGCAAAACAGACACAAAAACCAGGCTTGAACTAGCTGCTACGTGATTTTGGTCAAGCTATTTAAGGTCCTGTCTCCCTGTAGCCCCAGCTGGCCTGGAACTCACTATGTAGACCAGACTGGCCTTGAACTCACAGAGATCCGCCTGCCTCTGCCTCCTGAGTGCTGGGACTAAAGGCGTGTGCCACCACGCCCGGCAAAAGTCCTAATTTTAATTATCCCTGGTTAAAGGGCAAATTTCTAAACCCCCCACGTGGCCTCCAAGCCTTTCTCTGATTACCTTCTCTGTACCTCTTTGCCCTTCAATTCCTGTCAGAACTGGACCATATGGTCCTTTCCCAGTGCCTAGGAAGCTGGGAAGAGGATGCCATGGTGACAGTTTATGCCAGTCAGTGTTGACTCTTTCATCACCTTGGAGCATTGCCATAAGACAAAGCAAGGACCTTTCAGAAAGAAAGATGAAGTAGGACCTGAATATGTCTACCAACAGCTCTTTTTCTGCATCCCTTCCTAAACATGATTCTGTCAAGCTTGGGTGCTTGTGATTTGTGTAACATAGGAGGAGTTTTTGTTGTTTCAGATAAAAATATAATGTACGTATGATTGTTCAAACTTCCTAAGAATTTCTGAAATTCCCTCTCAACCACAAAGGTATGTTGCTGCTACCTTTGCTGCTGATGGAGAATCCTTACTCTTAATTTTTCCCCCCTCTTTCAGCATTTGAAAGTAGGTTAGAGAAGGACTGTCTCACTGGGAGCAGGAAAGCCCTGAACAACAGGCATTAGAAATGGAAACAATGAAATCGTTTTGGAAAGGCATAATTATTTTTTGCCTACTGTTACCAGTGAGTAGACCAGGAATTTGAAAGAATTCCAGTACTTCATTTCTATATGTGTTGTTTCATATTATAGTTACTTTATATTGGCAAGAAGCAAGTTTGCTAAAGTCTTCCTTTTCTCAGTTATTTTAGGATGAATTTGCTGCTGAAAGACTTCACTGTGCTTAGTATTAAACATAGAAGGAGAAAATTTAAAAGGCAGGACTGAGGCTGGATCCCCAGGACCCACATGAAAGAAAGAAAGAAAAAAAAAGAGCCAGGTGCAATAGCACTTGCCTGCAATCTAAAGGCTGAGGAAGCAGACTTAAGGTGATCCCTGGGACTTGCTGGCCGGCCAGTCTAGCTGAATTGGTGAGCTCCAGGTTCAGTAAGAGGCCCTGTCTCAAAAAATAAGGCTGAGAATGACGAAGAAAAGCACCTAATGTTGACCTCTGGCCTTTGCATGCATATGTGCATGCACTTACAAACATTATACATGCATATACCACGCACAATAAAAATAAAAGGTAAGATTATTATTATGGTAAAGTCTGAGATTTGACTGTACAGTCTATTTCACTAATATATGAAATTCCAGCCTACCATTTTACCCTTTAAGAAAGCTTGCATATTACCTAGAATTATAAGGTGGTGTATCTATCATCTGCCCCAGTGCCATTTCTCAGTATGGACACTGAAACCTGACCTGGTGAGCTAGCTTTCTCCACACAGCTAGGTAATGGAGGGAACAGGACCAGACATGATCTTGCAGTACACAAGCATGGACACATAGGTGTTTTTGTTTTTGTTTTAGAGCAGAGAACCACAGAGAAATAACTTGCTAGAATGCAACATCTCTCCCACCCACCCTCCCTCCCTTTCTCCCTCTCTCCCAACCTCCCTCCCTCACTTCCTCCTTCTCTCCCTCCTTTCCTCTCTCTCCCTCCCTTGAAGGGAGCAAAGCAAGGACCATGGTAAGGCAGGAGATGTGTTGGGGAAAATGAAGTGTTCTATTCAGGAGTTTTGGAGCCTAGTCAGGAAAGCAGGCCAACTCATGAGTTTAGTTGTGGGGCAAGGCACAGTGCCGAACTCCTGGGAACTCCATGGCAGACAGTGCTGACCTTGGGTGTGTAGCACTAGCTGTTCCTTCAATATGCCATCAGTGATGGGAAGCAAAGAAAACACAGATATGGAAAAGGCAGGGTAGACATTGCTGCACACACAGACATTTTAGATAAAAGTGTGAATAGTGGCTCAGGAGCCCTTGTCAGGGTAACATGACCTACATATTAGAGAACATCAGAACAAAAGGCCATACTGAAATGAGCGCATCTGATGCTCTTGCCCACGAATCCTCCCTGGGCATTGTGCACACACACTGCACTTACATATACTCAGGCTGGAGAAATCGCCTCCTTCCAAGTTAAAACATAGAGACTAAAGCTTATAATGAATCAATCTCTATTGGCTTTTCCTTCTAGGCTTGAAGAAATAAGTTTCCAAAACGTCACTGGTTTCCAACCATTTGGAAGACTTGCTAAAACATAGACTGCTGGTCACCAACTTGAGTTTCTGATTCTGTAGGCTGCAGTAGGGTCTGCATTTCTAACACATTTCTAGGTGGTGTTGATATTAATGACCTAGGGACCCCTCTTTGAATTACTGTTTTATAGTGAACACATAGTAGCTTCCAGATACAGAAGAGCTCACACTAGACATAGGTGGACACTAAAAGGCATTATCTGTATAAGCTGCTAGGGAAACACAGCAGGAAGAAAGGGCTTTCCTTTTTGTCCCTAGGGTTTGCTTGCCAGGAGCCTGACCAAACATAGCTCCCAGGGTCCAGAGCCTAGGTACACTGCAGGTTGTAGAGTGCCTCCAGAGAGGGTGGACTTCCTCAACAGTCTAGAGAACGGATTTCCAGCAAATTTGCCAGCATGGCCCCAGAATTTGTCTCTTCCACTCAGTGAGCCACAGCAGTGCCCTCTGCAACGTCTGGCTGACCTTGGTGCAGAGGGAGGCTGGGAGGAAAGGTTCCTCGGGAGTCTTCTCAGCCCTACAGGATGGGACACTCTCTTCTATCTTCCTTATAGTTCTTTGTACTTCTTACTAGTCAATCCTTCAGTGTTTTGGGTATATATAATATATGCTTGAACTGGAGAGATGGTTCAGTGGCTGCTCTCGAAGAGGAACCGGTTTTAACTCCCAACACCCACATGGCGGGTACCAACCATCTGTAACTCCAGTTCCACCGGATTCACGCCCTCTTCTGGCCTCTGTGGGCATTGCACGTACATGGTGCACTTAGATACAGGCAGGCAAAACATGCATACACATAGCAGACAAATAGTTTCTCTTCCTCCTCTACCCCCCTTCCTTTCCTCTCCTTCCTCCGACCGATGCTTTCTTGCTTCCTCTCCTCTGCCTTCCACCCGCTCCTCTCTCTCTGGCCCTGGGCAGGTAGGACTGAGACCCAGCACCCATTATGGAGCCGGGTTGTGTGTGCCCGGGGCGGGGCGGGCGGGGCGGGTAGGACTGAGACCCAGTACCCCACGTGGAGCCGAGCAGTCTGGAACCGCATAGACCGGCTTTGCGCTAGCACAGGTGGCGGGACCTCAGGCCTAGCTTGGCTCGGCAAAGCAGGAAACTGGCAGAAACCGGCCGCAACTCTTCAGGTGACTGTGGCCCAAGGGGGTAGGGGGCGGTGACCCTCTGCACTGCACCAGGACCAGCACTGAGCTGAGCACCCCCACACACCGTCTCAGGTCTGCATTCCTGGCAGAAGTTGTTGCACACTGCACCCAACACCCCGAAGCCTCAGCCTGAAGGGGGTGGGGCGGGGGGACGTTGCCAGGTTGCAGGAAACCAGTGTAGACCGGAAGATGGGGGGCGCCGGCCACTTCCACCTGGGGACCCTGGGCTCGTGGAATAAGCCAATGAGATGTGGGGTGCAGCGTGGGCGGATGGAAGCGTACGATCCCCGGAACAAGGATGCTTCCGGGGAGGGACACTGACCTGGGAAGAGTTATGTGTGCAGCCTGGACAGTTGGAAACATAGGATCTCCAGAACAAGGATGCTTGGAGGTCACCGGTGCAGGCAAGTGATGGCTTGGGAAGAGCCCTAACACAAGTGGAAATATACCAGCCCCAGAACAAGGATGCTTGGGAGTTGGGGAGGGGACACTCACTGACCTGGGAAGAGTTATGTGTGCAGCCTGGAGAGCTGGAAACAATCTCCAGAACAAGAATGCTTGGAGATTGCAGGGGAGGTACTGACTTGGGGAAAAAAAGTAGATAAGTAAATCAAAAAAATTTAAATATATTTACTTGCAATTATTGAGTTATTTATGTATATATTGACTTGTTTTACATTTTGCCTACTTTAAACATATAGATATATTTAACCATTTCATTTGTGTATTTTATTATATACTATAAATTTATATGACTATAATCATGTTTTTAATAATTGTATTTTATGTAAGGAACTTATTCAGTTCTTCATATATTTGTAGTTATTATTATGTGCCATCTCTCTGCTG